AATAATTTTAGGTACTTGTTGAAATTATTACACCAACACGTAAAAATGTATACTAAATGAAATGGATTCAATGGAGACCACGTCGAAGCCACTCCATAAAACCCTTAAAGGATCTACTTTTCCCCCATGGTTTTTTTTGCTACTGAATCTTAACTGTTGCTTAATTCGAGCGAAATGCGATCAAGAGGATACACTCAACTTATAGTATTAATCAAGTAGTATCTTTACAAAAATACATCAGGATTACCTACAGTAATCTACAGGAATTTCAATGCTGCTACCCAACGACTGTCATTCAGTGTCTAATTGAAAAGAGCATAATACGGGATAAAGGATAAAGGATAAAGTCTTCGCCGTTGATCAATCCCTTTGTGGGATGCGGCACGCATTCTACTTCCATTCAGAATCGTAGTGGCTTATTGAATGCGATGTGGCCTATACAATGACTTGCGGTGGCCAGCCGATGTACAAGTCAGTGTTTTATCCTCCCAGACGAATCTGGTACCAATTTACCGTCCCCGGAGGGTAGAAGGCTTGGTTGGCCTGGGCGGGAGTCGACCCGGGATTTGAACCCGGCGCCGCGCGAGTGGTAAGCGCGCCACTTGTCACTACACCACCTCCGCCGCCATAATCAACTTCTCATAATACGGGAAGAGGAGGAAAATCTCGCTTGCCTCCACTCAGCCATTTATCTCTGCTTCAAAACTGATGCGATCGAGGAGGTTGCAGTGATTCGTTTGATTAGGTTGGCGGGAAAGTTCTGTGGGAAAGTTCTGTCACTTTTTCGAACTCAAAATACTTGCCCATTACCTGAAGAGGGGTGAACGGTAATGTGAGCACTTATACATCAAAGAGTGGTCTTTCTATTACCACTCGCTTGATTCCTGCTTTCTTCTTCTTCTTCTGCAATATGGACAAGAAAGTTATCCGCTATCATCGCCACCGACCCCAAATGCTTCTGATAGTGCAGCGCACTTCCAAAAAAGTTCTAGCCGTTCCTCATGCAATAGAGCTGGATGGCTCTCCCCTTGCAGTGGTGTAGCACAGACATTGCTCCTTCTAACTGCGAGTTGCCTCCCGTAATCAATCATTACGTAGACGAGAAATTACGAGAACTTGAAAAGTCTGAAGAGTTTTCATTCGTCAAAAATTGAGGTGATGTCGCAACTTGGTATGCGTCCCTCTCATTGTGAAGCGATGGCATCCATGAGGTGGCTCAAAACAAAGCAAAGGACGCCCGGCAGTAGCATTGCTAATTCAATTTTGATCCTCACCCCTCTTTATCAAAAGAACACCCCCAATTTGAAAAAAAGTGAACAGGAAATCTTTCCCAGCGACTAACAACATAGGTGCGCAATTCCACCGGTTGAATTATGCGATGTAGCAAATTTCCTCAAGACCGTCCGCTCTCGATGCAAGAAAAGGCCTAGCCCAAAGGGCACATTTTCAGAAAACGTGTCCCATGACGCTTTTACTTAATCTTCTACGCGTCGCGACGCCTATAGAGTTGTCGCCTCTTCAGTATTGATACATCATCTATTAGACTTCGTTTTCGACGGTAAACGCGACCTTTCGCGGTACTCAAGTCAAAAGCTTAAGGTGCCTGGCTGAATTGTACATCCAATTTTTCTCAGTCCTCCCCCCCCCCCATTGTAGTTCGGTCAGTCTAGTAAAACATCTGTATCGATCTCAAGAGGAAGAAGGCTGAGAACCCATAAAGGAAAACGTAGCCATGACCTATTGCTTCTCATGACTAGACCATGACACCCATTTTCCTCTTCATCAAGCCTCCCCCCCCTCTCCACCCTTGATGCCCACGCCCATTGCTTCAACAGATTCTGAAGACACAAGGATTGAACTTAGTACCTGTAATTACCCTGTCACTAGATGTGGAACAGGTTCTAGAGGCACTGTCCAATGAATGAAACGTCTTTTCTGTTGCTCACCCCTCATCTTGTAAATTACCGGTCGCTAAACAACTTGTTTCTTTGGTAAGCTGTAGGTCTTATCACATAGGGTGGGTGCCAAGTACGGACATAATGCGCGCTATAGCAACAGCTGCTACACGAATATAATGACAAGCACGCGGGTCCGAGATTAGGAACATAAAACATGCAGGTCATGTCGTACGTTGGGGAAAGAAAAGGGTGGGGGTGGTGTCGTACTCGGTCGTCAAAGTGAGCGGAGCCGTATCTACTGCAGCGTTCAGACTTCGCGACGGCAGCGCTTCGGTCGCGCGTTCACGCGATCGATGCAGTCGAAAGCATGCGCATCGATCGTCGAATCGCGCGACCGAAGCGCTGCCATCGCAAAGTCTGAGCGCTGCCTTCTTTTAGAAAAGTTTCTGTTTCCAGTTTTCTCACCCTTCTTTGGTTTTCCCTGCTTCAAGTCGTTAGTAAGTGGAATAGGATTGACAGACAAAAAATATAGCAGAACTATTTCCGTATGTCCACTTAAAAGCAATGCGAACCTGTAAAGTGCAGCAATTCGATCAGCATCAGCATCGCTTCCATCAGACGGTGAGCGCTGTTCCAACTTCAGCGATGTTAAATCCAAGTTGCATAAGTTGTTGAGGGTAGGATTCATGATACGCTCACAATGGTATGGATTCACACACACCTATAAAACTCCAGAAGGTGAATGGCAGTCAGGAAATTCTTAAATTTCAAATCTGTCCATTGGAACGACATCTGACAGCCTTCACTTTGCCTAGGCGTTCAAAATGTTACCAACAGGCGTGCAATGCGTGAAGGAACTGCGCGCTCAGCGTGACAGGTATTTTCGCCCTGAAGCGCGTGGTCGTGGGGATAGTCAACCCAATCGTAATTTGCCGCGCAGTAACTAACTCTTCATTTTTCCTGTTTAGGTGCTGAGCAGACAGTGTTGCATATAGGCGGACTATCCATCTGCCGCGTGCGGAAGGCGACATCGCTGCCCGGGCGTACGAGCGCGCTGAATAACGAATGTCTTACCACATACCCTACAGCGATTGGTAGCGTCGTTCTAAGGGAACCCTCTTCATTATATACTACGCGAATGAAATTGGGCGCTCGTAGGGCGAGAAGTATACAGGGGAGGGAAAAAACTTTTCTTCCTCGACTTTCAAGGCGATATAAGTTACACTTTAGTAAATTCTGATTGGACATTTCCACCACCATATTCAAGAGCATATTAACTATCAGTACTCCGCCATAGCCTTCTGGACGAGCGCCATCGAGAGATTCTGCCACGCGTGAGTGGGTACCTGAGTTCAGCGAGATCGTTGATTTCTCCGCCACTGTAGACCACCCTGTTGAGCTCCGCCCGAACCCGGTAATCGAGGGGGTTTAGGTCAGGTGACACACTTAGATATTCCGTCTTCTTCAGGTACTCAACGCCCTTCCATTCCAAGTAGGCGAGAGTTTTTCCAACGCCCTTCGATTCCATGTGGTGGCACCCAATGCTGTAGCAGTACAAAGTTTCCAAGAAGGTACGGGCGACGACATGTGGGGAGGATATTCTTCTCGAGTTGCTCGATGTAACCGCTCACCTTCAGTCCGGGGTCCACGAAGAAAATATTGGTCTTTCCATTCCAGGTACGTCCGGTCCATACCATCAACCCGCGCCTTGGCGAAAGATGATGTCCTAGACCGTAGCGACGTTGTCGGAGCTGCTCGATGTTGGAGGTCTTCCAGATCGAGAGTACTGGTCTCCAGGTAGCTCCATGGGTGACTCCATACTAGAAGTTTCGCAGCTGTTTGGAGGTGACATGAATTCCAAAGGTCTTCTCCAGTCAGGCTGCGACTGGAGATGACTTCATATTTTGGTGTACATGAAGGTGATGGGCGAGAGCCAGCTCCTGCTTATCGAGGAACATCTTGGGTATCTTCCGCCCTGGTACTCGTATCCACGTCTTCTCTCTGGGCAGCGAAAACTTTGCTGATATGTGACTCGGTCGAAGTGACTTTTTTGCCCCCCCCCCCTGTATGTGACCACATCGAACGTATATTCCCGAGAAGCATCTTGGCACGCCGGCTTGGAACGCTACATATAAACTGCGGCGAGGACGGCGAAAGCGGTGCTGCAAAGGGGAGAGGGGGGGGGAGGGAAAGCATGTGCCAGACATTTGCATAGAACGTAACTGATTCCGAGTTTGTTTTGGTATGATAATAGCTGTTTTACGCCCCGTTTCGTGCTGCGAAAATTATCACAAGTATGGCGAATCATGGGCAAAAGCCAAACCACAAGAAGGGGACTCAGAACCTCATGTCCAGATTCAAAACTCACAATTAGATCCCCCTGGGATCTGACTTTTGCCCATAACTCAGCATTCTTGTGGTAACTTGATTCCATAGGGCAGTTTGGTAGTGTACGACAAGCTCAGCTAGCGAGGAAATTTCTGCATCGTGACTCACGTCATCGCAACGCGGAGGTAATGTCACTCATCGAGAAAGAACTACTTTATCTTGGACTCTTCTGTCAAGCCATCTAGTCGGGAGACTGCACTACAAGTGGGATCTTGCTATAGGGAAAGCGCAAAAAGCACGCTCGGAGCAGTATTCTCGTTTCAGAACAGTCGCGACCATTGAACATGGCGCGAGGGCAAAACATAGATATGGGTCAGTAAAGCGCAGCCAATTCAAAAGGAACAGACTCTATATGCGATAGAATATTGGCTACATTTGTTCAAGGAGTACTCCTGAACAACAAGTTCGTAAAATGTGCACAAGGACTCTACCCTAATAGGATGCCCCAATCATATGAATTCCGGCCAATTTTTGACAGACTTTTCTGTTCGTGAGCAGATTTGGCTGAAAACTTGTTCCTAGGGGTAAATTTGACCTCCTGAACCCGTATCCATCTAGCCCAGAGCCGCCTGCCGTTTTTCAGAGGGTCAAACTAACCCTGACAAGTTTTCAACAATTTTGTTGAAAATGTCAGGGGTTTCTTGGGGACAAACGTTTCAGCAAAATCTGCTCCTTGAGAAAAAATTCAAAAAAACTAGTTTTTGAGGATTTGGGCAGTAGAAGGAAAAATGGTGCAAATTTCAATACCAAAATCTTCCGAAAACGTCCAGAAACCAGACTACATGGCTCAGGCTCATAGCCATCACCAGAATTACATGTGAACCTCAATGTTAAGAAACCTACCGAATCACACTTGAGGTCGAA